TGAAGGACACTTGGTTGTTTCCAGATCTTAGCTATTGTAAATAATGCTGCTAAGAACATAAGGATGTATATATTCTTTCTGATTGGTGTTTCAGGCTTCTTAGGGTATATTCCTAGAAGTGGGATCATTGGGTCAAATGGTAGATCAATTTTTATTTTTTTGAGGAAGCACTAAATTGTTTTCAATTGTGGCTTCCCACTCTGCATGCCCACCAGCAGTGTACTGTAGTCCCCTTTTCTCTACATCCTTGCTGGCATTTGTTGTTTGATGATTTGTTGATGGCAGCCATTCTGGAAGGTGTGAGGTGATACCTCCTAATCATTTTAATTTGCATCTCTCTGGTGATTAGTGACATTGAGCACTTTTTCATATGTCTCGTGGCCATTTGTATGTCCTTTTTGGAGAAATATCTATTCAGGTCCTCTGACTTTTTTTTTTTTTTAAAGATGTTCCTTATTAAATTTTATTTATTTTTTCTTTATTGATATTAGACAGAGGAAGAGAGAGATTGAAACATCAATGTGAGATAATATCCATTGGCTGCCTCCTGCATGCACACCACTTTGGATTTGGCCCACAACCTGGGCATGTGCCCTGACTGGGAATAGAATTGGTGACCTCTTAGTGCATGGGTCAATGCTCAACCACTGAGCCAGACTGGCTGGGCTCTCTGACCATTGTTTAATAGAATTGTTTGTCTTCCTTTTGTTGAGTTGTATGAGTACTCTATATATTTTGGAAATCAACCCCTTATCTGATGTATCATTGGCAAATATGTTCTCCCATACAAAGTTCCTTTTTCATTTTGATGCAGGTTTCTTTTGCTGTGCAGAAGCTTATTAGTTTAATGTAGCTCCATTTATTTATTTATTTTTTCTTTCTTTCTCTTGCACTAGGCGATGTATTGGTGGAAAATCTGGTACGTGTGATGTCTGAGATTTTGCTGCCTACATTTTCTTCTAGGACTTTTAAGGTTTCATAAGTGACATTTAAGTCTTTTATCCATTTTGAGTTTATTCTGTGTATGATGTAAGTTGGTGGTCTAGTTTCATTTTTTTGCATGTAGCTGTCCAACTTTCCCAATACCATATACTGAAGAAACTGTCTTTACTCCATTGTATGCTCTTGCCTTCTTTTTGAAACATTAATTGAGAGCAATGTTTTGGGCCAATTTCTAGGTCCTCTGCTCTGTTCCATTGATCTAAATGCCTGTTTTTGTGCCAGGACCATGCTGTTTTGATTACAATGGCTTTGTAGTATTACCTGAAATCAAGAATTGTGATTCTTTCAACTTTGTTCTTTTCTTTCAGGATTACTGTGGCTATGCAGGGTCTTTTTTTGTTTCCATATAAACTTTGGAGTATTTATTCTAGATCTGTGAAGTATGCCGTTGGTATTTTAATGGGATTGCATTGACTCTATAGATTGCTTTGGGTAATATGGACATTTTAATTATGTTGATTTTTCCAATCCATGAACATAGCATATCTTCCACTTTTTTATATCTACCTCTATTTCTTTTTTCAATCTCTCAGGTCTTTTATTTCCTTGGTTAATTTTACTCCTAGGTATCTTAATTTTTTTGCTACTGTTGTTGCAATGGTAAATGGGTTTGTTTCATTTATTTATTTATTTTTAGGTTCTCTTTCTATGTGTTCGTTTTTAGTTATGTTTAAAAAAATGTGATACATATATAATGGAATACAACTCAGCCATTAGAAAAGATGAAATACTGCCAGGTGTGACAACATGAATGGATCTTGAGGATTTTATGCTAAGAGAAATGAGTCAGATAAAAAAAGTTAAGAACCGTATGATTTCACTCATATGTATGATAGAAAACTGAAAGCTACAAATGAACAAATAAGAAAAACAAACACACAAAAACTCATAGATGGACAACAGAATGGTGTTTAGCAGAGGGAAGGAGGTGGGGAGTAGCAAAGGTACAAGGGGACAAATATATGGTGATAGAAGAAGATTTGACTTTGGATGGCATGTGTACACAATGCATGCATCATATAAATAATGTATCATAGAATTGAACACTTGAAACCTATATAATTATATTAACCATTGACCCCAATAAATTTAATTTAAAAAAGAAATGACTCAAAATGTTATAGATTGATTCATTTTAGTTAATTAAATCTGTTGTTTTTTAAGAAATTAAAGATGAATTAGCTGATATTAAAATTTCTTTGCTTGATGCTAAATATTCTTTAAGAAGTCAGAAAGGGAAAAATGGAAGAATTTTTCTTTGCTATGTAGTTTTATATTTACTGAATAAAGTTATTTCTTTTGATTTACATATTATATTCTCTTTGTAATAAATAAAAACAAAAAATTAAATATACTATTAAATACATCAGAAATTATTTGAAATCCTGCCATTGTAAGGAAGCCAATATTTTCTTCTAATACAGAGAAGAGACTTGGAGGTGGTTTCCAGAGACAGGAATGTCGGGTGGGCAAAATGGATGAAGGTGGGTAAAAGATACAAACTTCCAGTTATAAAATAAATAAGTAATAGGGATGCCACCACGGTGACTCTATTTAACAATACCGTATTGTATATTTGAAAGTTTCTAGGAAAGTGCATCTTAAAGGTCCTCATTATAAGACAATATTTTTTTGTAATTATTTTGGTGACAGATGTTAAGTAGATTTATTGTGGTGATCATTTCACAATATATACAAACATCAACTCATTTTTTTGTACATCTGAAAGCAATATAATGTTATATACCAATTATACCTCAACTAATAAAAGAAAATAGTTGTTTTTTTGTGTTTTACATATTATAATATCTTTGTAACAAATTTAAACTCCAAATAAATACCTGATTACTAAATCAGAAAGTATTTTCAATTATACTACTCTGAGGAAGGCAAAATTTTATTCTAATCCATTCCTCCCAGATATTGCTAATACAGACAGGTACATGCAAAATACTACATGAAATTATGGGGTGCTATCCTTCTTTGTTTTATAAAAATGGAGTTATGAGATGCATGCATTTACATTCTTTCTCCCATGTCAAGAAAGCATGGGATATCTTCAGTGAAGTAGATCTGAACCATTGTCTTGAGAAGCTCCGCAGTGTTGTCTGGTGCAGATGTTTTCCAGTGTCTTAATCAATTCCAGCTGAGAGTGTCTTCCCTTTCCTTCCAGATTGCTTTTGCATTATTAAAAAAACCTTTAATAAACATTCTTGAGCCCGGCCAGTGTGGCTCAGTGGTTGAGCATCAACCCATGCACCAAGAGGTCACCTGTTAGATCCCTGGTCAGGGCACATGCCCAGGTTGTGGGCCTAATCCCCAGTGGGGGACATGCAGGAGGCAGCCAATTGATGTTCTCTCTCATCGATGTTTATATATCTCTCTCTCCATCTCCTTTCCTCTCTCTCTAAAAAATGAATAAATAAATAAAAATTCTTGAGCAAACATATGTAATACTTATTCTTGGGCAAATATGATTTCAACCAGTTGAGGTTACTTTAATGCAATTATTAAAATAAAAGGATACTTATTTTGGTTTTACGTTCAATGAAAAAAAAAAACCACAAAAACAACAACACTCACCAAATCATTGTCCCGAAAGGATACAAAAATCATTCCAGATGAGTCACACAAAAGCAATTTAATGAAAAGAGTATATGGTGTTATTTTCTTTGACCTACTGTAACAAATTACCACAAATTGAGTGGCTTAAAACAACCCAATTTAGGTCTCTCACAGTTCCAGAACTCGGAGTCCAAAATCACAGTGTTGGCAGGGTCTCACTCCCGCTGAAGGCTTTAAGGGACAATCATTCCTTGCTTCTTCCAGACTTTGGTAGCTCTTGACCTTCTTTACTGCCTGATTCTTGGCTGCGTCACTCCAGTCTTTGCCTCTGTCTTCACATGTTGTTCTTCTCTGTTTCCCTGTATCTGTTTTCTAAACTGTCTATGCTTTCTGAATCATAAGGACCCTGGTCATAAGATTCAGTGCCCACCATAAGCCAAGATGATCTATTTCCTTAAGTTGATATATTTGCAAAGCCCTTTTTCTTTTTCAAATAAGGTCATGTTTGTAAGTTCTAGATGGACATATATTACTGACAAACCTTAGAGGAGGTGGATGGGGGGAGGGAAGAGATAAACCAAAGAACTTATATGCATATTAGCATAACCAATGGACATAGACAACAATGCTCTGGTGGGATGAGTGGGATCAAAAGGAGGGTATCAATTGGGGGAAAAAGGAAAAACATCTGTAACAAAAATAAATTAATTTAAATAAAAAATACCAAATAAATAAGTAAATAAACGGGCCTACATTCAACCCAATACACATTGATATGGATAGTTCAGAGAAAAATTCTTGATACTTCTAATACTAAATAGATACTATCAAATAATACCAGACGCTACAAGAGGAGTGGATAATATTATCAGAGAACAGTGAATGTTGGGATAATAGAGGAGGGGACACACTCGGGATTTGTAGTCTAAAAGCACCACGGACAGTGACGAGATAGAAACAAGGGAAAATGCAAAGAAAACACTAAGAGCCCCCTGCTTCTACCATCTGCACTGCTACTTGTTTTTCTCCTTGGCCAAGTGCAATCATACTAAAGGAGGTTAGTAAATATATCTGAAGGAATGGGAAGGTTAAATAATATAGATCACAAAACTTGACCCTAATCCCTGGTTATATAACACACTTGGTTAACTGTCATTGTATTGCTCAGACAATCTCTTAACTCACTAGTTCATAGGGGGAAGAAAGATGAATCTTCAAATTAGATTGTTACAGTTGAGATAATTTATGCTCTGATTACACAAAAGTCCTTTGCCTAACCCTATGAAACGAGGGCACCTTAACATAATGTGCAATTGCTATGATGATATTAATGATCATTACTTAAATGCATAGAAACAAAACTAGACTTTTTCTTTTGATCTACATGTGAAACATATAAGCACGTCCTTTCTGCAATTCAAGCCTTGGAGTCATCATAATAACTTAGTTAGCAGTTTTTTCAGTGCCACCATGATATCTTTGTTTCTCAGAGTATATATAATGGGATTCAATGTTGGGATCAAAATAGTATAGAAAAGGGAGATCAGTTTCCCGATTCCTTCAGATTGATTTGGTTTGGGTTGTAAATAAGTGATAGTAGCTGTTCCATAGAATAAGACTACAACTATCAAGTGAGATGAACAGGTGGAGAAGGCTTTAGCCCTCCCTCTGGCTGATGACAATTTCAGAATGTTGGAAATAATTTTGCCATAGGAGACAACAATCAACAGAAATGGAACCATGATAAAAACCACTGCAACTACATAGACAGCTATCTCATTCACAAATGTGTCCCCACAAGCTAGCTTGAGTACTGGGGGAACATCACAGAAGAAATGATTGATTGTGTTAGATCCACAAAAGGGCAGGGAAAAAATCTGGCACGTTTGCCCAATTACGACTGGAATGTCACTGACCCAGGAGGCAGTCACCAGCTGGACACAGACTTTGTGGTTCATGACTAGAGGATAGTGCAGAGGGTTACAAATGGCCACGTAGCGGTCATAGGCCATCACTGTCAGCAGGAGACACTCAGAGCCTCCGAACATAAGGACAAAACACATTTGTGTAGCACAAGCAAACAAAGAAATATGTCCTTTCTGGGTCAAAAGGTCCATGAGCATTCTTGGGATAGTGATTGTTACATAACAGATTTCTAGAAAGGAAAAATTGCTGAGAAAGAAATACATGGGGGTCTGGAGAGCAGGGTCAATTTTTATTATCAGTATTATGATGCTATTGCACATGAAGATAGTCAGATAGATGACTAAAAATATCCCAAAGAGAAGCCCCTGGATATTGGGAATGTCAGAAAACCCCAAGAGAACAAATTCCATCATTGTAGTAATATTTGATTTTTCTGTTTTTAATTTGTTCTCCATCTGCAAATATGGTAAATTCAAGAGGGTTAATTCATTAATGTTTTTGAACTACATTTTCCTCTTCTGTTAACTGGGTTAAATGCATGAGGGTATTTCTATAATCTTTACAATTATTTCCATCAATACCTTCCTCTATTTCTAGGAAATGATATTTGAAACTTCAGAAATGAACTAATGTGCAGTTAAAATCAAATAAATTTTTAATGTATTTTTATGCTTGATGGAATGATATCAGAGAAAAGTGCATTGTTATAGAACTTATTGTGCAAGAATAATATCTAATTGTTGTACCCCTATTAAGAGTGGAATTATGACGCAAGTTTTTTCTATTGTTTTTGTTTAGGTTCATCAATTTTACTCTGTATTGATTGATCCATTTCATTTTTCAATCTAAAGCTTTTCTTTTACAGTTTTGTTTAATTCTTATTCAAAATGAATTTTAAGTCCCCCCAATTATATTTCAATGAAACAAAAATTTCTTAAAACAATCTTTTTTAAGTTAAGGAATAAATATATGCAATATTAATGTTCTACTTTATGTATTATTCTTATCACTTATTCTAAATATTAAAAAATTTAAGTCTATCATCCTGTTAAATAAGTTTCCCTGTCAACACCTTCTATATAGTGAATGCAATGCATGACAAATATCACTAAACCTTTAACTCAATCAAGAAATATGGCTCATTCACTCACAACTGTAACCAAATACAATTCTCTTCCTCTACTTCCTTTTATAATTTTGCCTAATAAAGTATGACTTTGATTAAACTCAATTATTATTTACTCTGGCCATGTAAATGGTTAGAACATACAAATGAGACTAAACACACACACACACACACACACACACACACACACACACACACACGATCTTGTTTTACTTCATGTTAAAGTCATCCAGTATCAGACAGTCAACAGAGCCTGACAATCTCTATTACAATTTATTAATACTTGGTCTATGATTTTGCAAAACAAATATTATGTTTTCTTATCTCATCAGATCTATACCCATCTCCGCCTTCTAGCCCCATCAGCTGTTTTTGCTTTAATACTTTGATAAATAAAATTGAGATGACAAATGTTCTCTCATATTTTCCTATTTTCATCAGTACTAGTTTTCAAAATTACCTTAAGTGAATAATTTTATTATAAATATTAGTATTATTACTATTTCACCTATTTCTAATTTTATTTTACTTTTTAATTAAGAAAGTTAAGAACTACATAATTTATCTGTAGTAGTTATTCATTTTCAGATAAAGATCTCAGAATTTCATGCTTTTCTGTTTTATTCTTTGTATGTTGATCCTCCAAATTAGAATTATCTTTAAATAAAATAAGCTAACACCTCAATTACAGCCTACCTTTATGGATTTGCATAAAGCTGATTAGATGAGTAGATGTTTTTTAACCTGTAAACTTTTTAAGTTCTTTCATGTAGGAAAGTCACTGGAATTATACAATATTCTTGCTCACGTCAACACTGGCTGCTCTTAAATAAGAAGTAGCCATGATCACCTTGGGGAACATCTCTTGTGTATCACTTTAATTTCTAAATGACTGTTTCTCTTTGGCAGTCATCTGGGTTTATTATCTGAAATTATTTTCTCATTAGATGACCTGCCTCTTCTGTCCCTTCTTGGCTTGAAGCTCCCCACTAAGGGGTAGTCAGTCCCTGGGTGAAGAAATGCCACTTAACTGTAGAGTTTTACTTTCCTGAAGTTAAAAATCTTTCTATGTATTGTATTTTAAGTATTGTATTTCAGACCTTTAATAATTGGTGTGGATTTACTCCTTCCTTTTATTCCCATAATTCATCCAGAGCTATAGCATTCATACCTTTAGAAAAATGTGGTGCATATTTTATCACCTGGACATAGTACACTTTGTTTCTTTGATACATTGGTTGGTTAGTTCCCTTTTCAGAAGTAGAATGCTCTGTCCCTACATTAACTTTTGTGGAAATTAGAGTATGTTATGTGTGCTGACAAAATGCTGAATGGTTTTATTCATGTTATGAACAAAGGGAAGGTACTTACCTGATTCAAAAATGCAAGCCACTCATAGACACAGACAACAGTATGATGGTTAGCAGAGGAGAGGGGGTTGGGGAGGTAGCAAAGGTTAATGAGGGTCAAATATATGGTGATGGGAGAAGATTTGACTTTGGGTGTTGGGCATATAATTCAATATATAGACAATATATCATAGAATTGTACACTTGAAACCTATATAACCATTAATCAAAGTCAGCCCAATAACTTTAATTAAAAATAAAAAAACCCAAAATATAAAAATGTGATATATGGGAAACACAATAAAGTAAAATGCAATAAAAAAAATATAAGCCACTCAAAAATATGCATTTAAGGAAAAATTTTTAAGACAGAAAAAAAATAAGCTTTTCCGTCACAATCCTTTTCTGATTTTAGCTACTTCCAGGCAAATATGGAGATAAAACTTTACCTCATATAAGCATCCCAATTTCCAATTCTACTTGTAATTACATTTGTTTATTTCTATTTTGATGTTTTTTGACTATTTGACAGTATGTTTTTAAAACTGTTATCAGTGGAAGTGGGGTATCACTTTCCCCAATGAGTGCTGGGGATAGGGTCCTTATGATATTTTGAGAAAAAGATTTTTTTTTTCTCATTCAACAGGAGGATGAATGATTTTTCTTTTTAATCCCCACCCAAGGATATTTTTCTATTTATCTTCAGATAGAGTGTGAGGGAGGAAGGGAAAAAGAGAGAGAGAGAGAGAGAGAGAGAGAGAGAGAGAGAGACATTGATGGCAGAGAGACATATCAATTGACTGCTTCCTGCATGACCCCAACCAGGGCCAGGGATGAACCACAATCAAGGTACATGCCCTTAACTGGAATCAAACCCATGACTCTTTGGTCTGTGGGCTGATGCTCTAACCACTGAGCAAACCAGCCAGGGCAGAATGAATGATTTTTATTTGCATAAAATTACATCCCTGGGTTTCCAAAATCTCATTTCCCTGAATCCAGTCCTGGAAGAAGTGCAGCTGTGTATTCAATAGAGCTAAAAGCAAAGCCAGTGTCCAGAATTTCCATTCCATATTGGAATTGGGGTCTGGTTTAGCATTAGGCTAGTTGCAGTCCATTAGTCCATTGTATGGGGTCCACATGGCTTGTGCCATGTGGGGGAATGCAGGGGAGCCAAGAGAATGGGTTTCCTGCAACAAGAGTCCCAAGAGAGCCAAGGGCCAAGAGAGCAAACTCCCTTTTTTAGGGGATTAAATATCTCAAATATTCCTGGGCTTGCAGTGGCCACACCTGCTCTGGACAATGACCTGTTCCCAGGTCTGACCAACAGGCAAGTACCTTGCTATTTCACCTAGACTTTACTAGGCATGTTATTCAGATTGCTTTATTTCCTTACTGATTTTTTACTGTTCCACAGGTGAATAAAATAAAAATGTGAGGATTTCCTACTACGATTGTAGAATTATCAAATAATTACTTTAAGTGTTAGTCCCTGTATTTTGAGATTCTGATTTTAGGTACATACAAATTTATGATATTTATGTCTTCCTAATAAATTGAACTTTTCATGTCAATGTAATAACTATTATCTGTGTCATACAATAGCTACTCACATTTTCTTATGTTTACTATTTGCTTGGTAATGTTTTTTGATTGACTGATTTAAATTTTTATTTATTTTTAAATTTTATTTATTAATTTTAGAGAGACAGAAAGGGAGTGGTAGAGAGAGATGAAAGCATTGATGAGAGAGAACATCGATAGGCCACTTCCTGCATGCTCCCCACTGGGGATCTGGCACACAACCTGGGCATGTACCCTGATTGGGAACTGAACCAGCAACCTCTTGGTACATGGGTCGATACTCAACCACTGAGTCACACTGACTGGACTGATTCACTTATTTTAAATTTATCTATATATTCTCGCTTTACAGTGTGTTCCATGTATATAGCATACATTTGAGTCTGGCTTTGTAATCTATTCTCTGCTTTTTAATTGTAATGTTTAGTTAATTAATGTTCAATGAATTCATCTGTGTTGGGAATTAGTTGCATAATTTTTTTAAAGCTTTGTTTATTGGTTTGTCTCCTCTGTTGATTTTCTATTTCCTTGCTTGTATTCTTGGATTATTTAGATTTTTTAACAGTTCCATTTTACTTTATCTATTAGCTTTGTAATGGTTATGCATTTTAGCTTATTCATTTTAAACCAGTCTAAGTCAAGTAAGTGGCACTTTATCTAGAAATCTGTTCCAAATGTTGCCTTCATGAGAGCGGTTCTAAAGGTAAATAAGCACAACTTCCTGACCTGCCCTGACACGTTCCACTGGAAAAATTTGGAAAGGCTTTTCAAATTCCAATGCAGCAAGTTATTCCTGCATCTTCCCATTGTTCTGTGGAGTCAGCAGAGGTAAAACGGCCAAGTTATTTTATGTCCCTGAAAACTATGTAGTGTTTTGCAGCTCAAGTGTTCATCTTGATGTGGGACCCAATTGTGCCATACCTCCAATTCTCATCCAAGAAGTCAAGCTGAGCCCACGAAGTCAACCTGTCTCCATTGCATGAACATGGCTAGGGCAATCCCCTGGGCTACACAAGGCTTTCACTACTTTCATGGCCCTGCTATGACTGTTTCTATTTCTTTCATCTTCCTCCAACTGGATTTCCAGTATGTAATGTAGAATATAAAATCTAAGGTTGTACATTTTAAAAATATAGAATTTTGATGTTCATATGTTGACTGTACACATAACTTGGAATGCAAATGTAGTGTTCACCAGTACCCGCCCCATCTTGCGCCGTTTCAGAATTCTCTCACAGTTTCCTTTCACAATAAGCAGCCTGACCTTACTGGGAGAGAAAGCAGCTCTGGAGATGATATTGCTAAAAAATATTAAAAATCACCCCCCCAGCCCTGCTGGTGTAGCTCAGTGGTTGAGTGTTGACCCATGTACCAGTATGATTCCCGGTCAGGGCACATGCCCAAGTTGTGGGCC